CATCCCATTGTACAAACACATGACTATCAAAACCCAATAACTAAAGTAGATAACACAATAGCATTTGAAGCGAACACTACTATATTCGATCCCTTGGAATGAATATCAACAACAGCAAATAAGATGAAGTGTATGTCTTCGATTCTACTACCACTACCTACTATCCATTTTTTGCTTTAGAATGCTTATGACTTAAGACAAGCCAATCAAGCCAATCCCAATACAGTATATACATATACCAATAAGGAGCGAACGGTACTGTGTTCGAGCCCCAGAATGAACACCAACTATGAGACGCAGGTACATCCAGCTGACGAGTCCCAAATAGGACGAAACGCGCATCCTGGATTCCACTGTTAACCACTATCCATAATTGCTTACAAAAAGCTTGTGAATTAAGGTAATATCGAGGCATACGCACAGTATGCACATATGCCAATAAGAGACTGATCAATTTCAGTCCTAAAACATCCCTGGGAAGATTCAAGTAAAACAATATCATGTGATCAATGATAGTTCAATTCTTTCTACTACTCACTTTCTATAAATAATACATTTTAATTTTCAGAATGGGTTTTGTGGAGAGTTTTAGAGATTTCACAGGTTGAAATCATGAGTCGATTGAAACTAGACCACCACGGGAAACCTGGAAGCACTGGACGGCCGTTTCGTTTTATTGTGGGACTCCTCAGCAGTGCGCATCCATGATCTCTCACCACGCGGGGCTCGAACTCAGGACCTACTGGCTTCGCGCGCGGACACTTAATCACTAGACCACTGAGCCGGCATCCAACGGTGTTAATGTCTAACTTCAACCAATCCACGAAGTTGAGCCACCGTACACCATTATCTTCAGTGAGGTGATATCTCACAACAGACCTGGTTGAACTCCACTGGTAACGGCTTCTCACTAGAACTCCAGGAGTTTTTCCTGAAGTCAGTCACTAGTGAGCAGTTGATTATTATCAGAATGGGTTTTATGGAGAGTTTTTTAGAAATTTCACAGGTTGAAATCATGAGTCGATTGAAGCTGGTGGTGCGGGATCGTGGATGCGCACTGTTGAGGAGTCCCATACTAAGACAAAACGGCCGTTCAGTGCTTCCAGGTTTTCCATGGTGGTCTAGCTTCAATTGACTCATGATTTCAACCTGTGAAACAATTTAATTTATTTTCTTCTAGAGAAATAAATTAATAATAAATGAGCATAAAACATACTTTAATCGGTAAAATAAACTGTCAATAATTTACATATTTTTTTTTTAATTTTCATCTATTCCATGACCTTTACCATAGAAAGAGAAAGGGAAAAGGAGAGAGAGAGAGAGAGAGGGAGAAAGAGAACGAGAACGAGAGAGAAAGAGAGAGGGTGAAGGGGAGGGCAAGAGAGCGATAGAGAGAGAGAGAGAAGGTGAGAGATGTACCGATTCAAAATTTCAGCTAATTTTTTGATTATCAATCATTTACATTTTCATTGATTCATTTCATTCACTTATTTACCATAAGATGTGAACATATCATTGGGTGTGGTCAACTCATTCCTCCTTTTCCCTCATTCATTTCATTTCTCTCAAAGACAACAACAAATATAGAACAGAAAGGACATAAGAGGAAGAAGAAGAAGAAGAAGTTATTCTCATCTACCTAGTAGTAATCGTACTACTAGTAGTAATAGTAGTATTGGTTAGTGGTCATAATAATACTGTCCTATTTCTCTCTTCTTCTTTCCTCTTCTTCTTCTTCTTCTTCTTCTTCTCCTCATTTTATCAAATATTTCCCATCTTTTCTAATCTATTAATAATTGCCCTAATTTTCTTGTTTGTTTGTTTGTTTGTTTATTCATGGTTGAAAAAAAAGGTAAATAAACATGGTTATTATTATTATTAAACATTTGGGCTAAGATCAATTTATTCATTAAATAGTTTCATTAATTTATTGAAAGAAAAAAAAAAGAGAAAAAAGAGAGAAGAAAAAGAAAAAGAGAAAAAGAAGAAAACGAAGAAAAAAAAGGAGAAAAATCACTAAAATAAAATGAGAAATAATTGAATAATTGAATGACCTTTATACATGTGTATCATGTAACATTTTTTGTTGTTGTTTATTTAAAGTTAAATTTAGAAAAGAAAAATGAATCATTTTCATTGAATATACTACTGATTTAATAGAGATAATTTAGTAGTAGTATTAGTAGTATTGTTATTATTATTCTATTATAAATTTTTGTGGTTATTTATGAATCTTAAGTCATCTATAAAGGGGACAATTCATTGATTTGGAATTTTTTAATGATAAAAATGTTAAGCGTTTGTGAATGAGATTGTTAAGTTATAAGTTCGAATCTTGTGAGATGGAATTGTGAATGTGCGATGTTAAGTAGTATTATACTAGAAGGAAACATCTGTCTAGTTCTCCTAAATTTTTCATGGTTGTCTGGCTTTAATTGTAAAATTACTATAGTATCCACAAAAACCCCTTTCTGATATTAATCAACAAATGCTCACTAGTGACTGGATTCAAGAGGTAATTCCTGGAGTTCTAGTGAGAAGCCGTGACCATTAGAATTCAGTCGGATCTGTTGTGAGATAATAACTCACTGAAGACAATGGTGGACGGTGGTACAATTTCGTGGACTAGTTGAAATTAGACATTAATATCGTTGAATTCCGGCCAACTCAATGGTTAAGCGTTCACGCTCCAAACTAGTAGATCTTGGGTTTGATTCTCGCCGGTTGAGATCGTTGATGTACACTACTGAGGAGTTTTGTATTAAGATGAAACGGTAATCCAGTGGTTCCAGGTTTTCCATAGTAATCCAGCTTTATTCGACTCATGAATTCATTTATTAAATATGACGTTTGTCTAGTCTTTAGAGTTGATCTGATTCTATCGATTAAGTAATAATGTTACCATTAGTCTAGGTTACTCGCTATTGAGTGTACAATATGTAATTGGAGGTAGTCAGAAAAAACTTTGCTTGGCATCGGTTTCGTGCTAGTGAAAATTGAATGATATAAGTTTGAATCCTACAAAGAGTATCAGTTTCCTTGAAATCCTAAGTAAGTCTTGTTGATAAGTGTTGACTATCATAAAACATTAGTTTCTTATTGACTACCTTTAATCGTACTTTATTAGAATTCGAAGTTATTTATCTAATAATTACCACTTAAGAAAATTAAACATTATTTTTTTAATAGTTGAGATCATGAGTCAATTGAAGCTAGACCACCATGGAAAACGTGGAAGCATTAAACGGGCGTTTCGTCGTAGTATGGGACTCCTCAGTATTGGGCATCCATGAATCCGCCTTGTGAAATTCCAACCCGGGACCTATTGGAGTCACGCACGCAAACCCTTAACCACTAGACCACTGAGTTGACTAGAATCCAACGGTGCTAATTTCTAGCTTCAAATAATACACGAAATTGAACGACATATCCACCATTGTCTTCAGTGAGTTACTATCTCACAACAGACACGGTTGAACTCTAATGGTCACGGCTTCTCACTAGAACTCCAGGAAATACCTCTCGGAGCCAGTCACTAGTGAGCATATGTTAATTAATATCAGAAAGGGGTTTTGTGGATATTATAGTAATTTTTAGTAGTTTCGATCATAAGTCGATTAAAGCTAGACTACCACGGAAAACCTGGAAACACTGAACGGCTTCAATTAACTCATGATCTCAACTATTAAAATTACTATAATATACACAAAACTCCCTTCATAAGTTATTTGTTCATTCATTTTTCAAACATTCCGATTAGTTTCAATTCAATCTATATTACCCCTAACTCAAGGTCTGAAAAGTCGGAAAAATGAAGATTTCGCAAATGTGATAAAAATGATCTTGGTGGTCTAATTATAGTATTCCGACATCAGACAGTGGGTTTTAAGCGTTATTGAAGCCCTAACGCTTTAGACTGGGCTATTTTGCTTACTACCCTATACATGTGTTGTATGCAGTATAAGCTATATGGCTATATAGAGCTGAAGGTCTCAATTGAGGCTGGAGGTTCGCCAGTGTTATTGTGGACGGCTCGGCATTGCTTTGGCAAGTTTTGCTGACTGTTCATGCAAAAATTGGTTTGCTAGTTAACCGATTTCATTCAGGGTGCTTGGTACCTGTGTGGTTGCTCCACAGGATTGAGCTGTACTATTCAGATTGTAGCGCTAAAGCCTGTAGGGTGTCTGGTTCCCCTGCTAAACAGGGTTAATCTGTACTGTTTGGGTTGACGCGTAAAAGTCCGGATGGTGTCTGGTTCTCCTGAAAACCAATGTAAAATTACCCTGGCCCACAAGGGTATATTATATAACTGTGAACTGTTATATATATATATATCATAATAGTTTCATTCTTCTTCATCTCTGATCGACTGATTTCTTCATTCATTTATAAATATTATAGGATTATTACAATGAATATTAATACAATATGCATATAGCCATATAAGAAATGATTATATAAGAACATTGATATCAATACAGATAATCATAATTATTCAGTTGGTATCGTTTACATGAATCTTCCGATTGTTGATTAGGACTGCAATTAATCAGTCTGTTATTGGCATATATGTATCCTGTGCGGATTGCCTGGATATTGTCTTAATTCACACAAACATTCCAGAAAAAGATAAATAGTGGTTATCAATACAATCCAAAATGTGCATTTCGTCATATTTTTGAATTGTTTAGCTGGCTAATATATGCATCTCAGATTGAATATTCATTCCAAGACTCGAACTCAGTATTGTTCACTTCAAACCCTATCGCATTAACCCAGAGTGTACATCAACTCCGAGATATAGATACATTCAACTGATGAATCTTAAATAGGACGAAACATGTATTAGACTGGATTCCACTTCTAGCCACTATCTATCTTTGTTTAAAAAGTCATTATTATTATTATTATTACTGAATTATTTATTGACGATAATATGAATTCATAATGATAAGTAACAAAGTAATTTTAATACTCATTAGGATAATACTTGAGTAATGGGGATAGAAACAACCAAAATAATAAAAAGGAATACATCCATTGTATTTGTATATGTTTACATGTGAGTCAAAAACTTGTCAAATGTCTAATATTTAATAAATTAAATAATAATAATAATACATTCTTTTTGTCAGTTCAACACTTCAATGAACATTGAAATGATTATAAAATAAAACAAAAACCAAAAAGAAAAGAAAAGAAAAAAGAGAGAAAAGAGAGAAAAGAGAAAAAAGAAAGAAAAGAAATGAATTCAACAAAAAATGAGATAAATGTAGATGATATGCTAAAAAAAAATTTTTTTTCTAAACAAAAAAGGAGAATAAAAAAAAGAAGACAAATAGGACTGGATAAATGAATGAATGAATGAATGAATGAATGAATGAATGAATGAATGAATGAATGAAAACGACAGGGTTTCTGTTGTTTTTGTATTTT